CTTGAGCCACAGGCGCCGAGCCTACACACTTCTTAAGAGTTCACAACTTGAGCACATTAAAAGCTCAGAGAGATCATCATTTTTCAAAAAATTAACTTTGAGTCAAGCCTTCACTTCCCTTTTTAATTATTCAAGAAAACTACAAACATCTCACAAGCAATGCTGATCTGGAAAACACAATTTGAAAAATACTAACTTAGCACCAAAGTTCTCAACTCTGAGACCCAAGAGGCTGCCATGTGGTTGACTTTGATGAAGCAGCCGAAGACCAGAGGCAAGTGACCGATGTAAACCTCGGGGCATCTCATGAATGAAAACAGAACGGCACTTCTCTCTCCCATCCAAGAGACCGTTTATTCCTGCTGATGGTGACTTCGCTTGGAGATGTCCTCTGTCCAGTCAAGAGCTTTATTGCAATATAAAACTCGTAGCAGAGATTAGACTGGGCTGGGGGGTCTTCTTTCTTGTCCCTCATCATCCTGCTCTAAATATGGCAATTACAAATCGTTTTTTTAAAAAGCCTGATGACACCACTGTCTGCTATATCACACTCCCCTGGCAGTAGCCTTTTAAAAGAATTTCTCAGTATTTGTCAGTAATTAGTCTCCACCGAATTCTCCACATGTGCACAGAGGATGGTTTTATATGTTATTATGAAAATCATAACACCAGTAACTATGGATATGTGAGAGAGAAGTGATTCACGTACCTAAGTAAAACTATATATGACGAAGCACAGGTATGCTGTATCCCCTGAATGTTAAAGTCATAGCGGTCAAGTGATTGGACCACTCAGAAGGCGGAGGCTGGATTTGCTGGTCTGGCAATAAAAAGCCAAGACCTCTACCCTTCAGCCATGTGGCCCAGCCAGCGTTGGGGGCTGAAGGGGGTTGTTTGTTTAGCTGCTGTGATAATGGGGCAAGTTCCTTGGCTTGGTAGTTAGGAGAGCTGCTAACCAGAGCTGGTTCTGAGTGACTTGACGCAGGTCTCTGGGCCTCAAGTTTCCCCATCTATGGACATGAGGGTTGGACTACATGAGCTTGCAAGACTCGCAGATATTTTTCGGAATTCGATCTGAGTTAAAGTAACACAAGCCCCACCAGCTCTGGACTCCTTCTGCAGGCCTTACTTCTTTGTCCCCCATCTAAGTGACTGAGATTCCACAACATGCCCAGCCTCAACAGTGTCTAAGCAGAGAATATCTGAAAATTGACTCAGCAGCAAGAGATGTCAGGGGCCAAAAGAGCCCAGCATTCTAGAACATCAGAGGCCTCTAAGCAGTTTGGCCTAATGAATAAGTCTGATATATCATCATGGTCATTTTTTTATGAGATAATGATTATTGAGTATAACCACATGTGGTCTGTAATCCTCTCTGTCTCCTCCTTGGCTTTATTTAATTTTTTAACTTTGCATTGTCTAATGTCTGTCATTGTTACCGACCTTTAAGGTCAAGCACAGCCTCAGCTGGTTATTAGGAACCTGGTGA